ATTGGTTGTTACCCTTCTTTTGGTTGTGGGAGGAAACAAAGCGTTTCTACCTACACCTCCATCTTAGCTGGAACTCCCAACCACATTCACTCAGATGAAGACCCAAGACATTTTGTCCTTAGAGTAAACATAGGTTCTCTAGTTATACCCCATTATTGCTAATTCCTGTCAAAAGCAAGAAAAAGGTAGAAGAATTGGCAGTTAGGTGCATACATTCATATTCTCTTTCCAAATTTTTAACCATGAAGGCAGAAATCCTCCCTAAAAGAAAACGAGTCCTTAAATGGTTACATCCATTCAGATTACACTGGGAGGGATCTAGTTGCTGTCAATTGAATAGAGTTAGGGCCAAAAAGCTGGTAATCTCTTTAATGGGGAAATCCAAAAATATATACAGAAACTTGTCTTTGTATTTCTAAGCAGGTCAGAAAGATAAACTGGATAGCAGTTTTGTAGATTGACTTCAGGACACTCTAAGTTGCTTCCACTTTTTGCAGTCAAGTCAGAAAAGTTTGCAAAACTCCAAGCCAAATAATTTTGTTTTACTTAAAACTTCTTTTTTAAATTAAAAAAAAATGGGTCACTAAGTGATGTCCCATCCCCCACTCACTTCTACTTTCTCCTTAAGGGACCAGGGGAGCTGGAGGAGCCTGCTGCAAACCGCAGAAGGTAATGAGCTCCTTGAAGATGACTTCTGAGGGAAAGCGGGAGCGAGAAAATGGAACATTGATGGTATGGTTCTCCATTGATTCATGTCTCTGTCCCTTAGAACAGTCTTTTAAACATTTTTTTTTGTTGTTGATTTCTCCATCATCTAGATTTTGGGTTACCATCTGAATACAGCAATAAAGAAAATATTGGAGTTTAAAAGTTCAGGCCACTTGATATGGGTAGTTCTAAGGGTACCTGGACAAGGGTGTGTTAAAAATACCTGGACAGAGTGTACCATAAGAAAATGCTGGAAATACCCTAAATATCAAGGGTAGGTGATTAGGCATCTGCCTTAGTGCCAGCACCAGCATCAGCCAGGTCCCCAGGGGGCATTGTGCCCACCACCCACAAGTCCCATGGATGCTCTATGGAGTCTCCCAACTCATGGGGACATGGGGGTGTGTGTGTGTGTGTGTGTGTTAAATATTTTATTTATTTATTTTTAGAGAGAGGAGAAGGGAGAGAGAAAAACCTCAATGTGTGAGAGATACATTAACAGGTTGCCTCTTGCAAGCCACTAACTGGGGGACCCAGACCGCAACCCAGGCATGTGCCTTGATTGGGAATTGAACCAGCGACTCCTCAGTTCACAGGCTGGTGCTCAATCTACTGAGCCATGACAGCCAGGGCAAGGCTGTTGTTTCATAGGAGCTTATATGGTTCATCAAAGCAGCAGCCTCCTGAATTGTTAATGTGCAAAGTCTCTGAAATAATTTCATTTTAAGCAGGATACTGCAAACAACATGAAGAGGGGGAAGTTTACCATTGTTCCATTCTGCAACAGCATGTTTATCTATCACTCACCTGTTAGTTCAGCCCAATGTCTTGCCTGAGTGGGGGAGACAGGGGGAAGTTAGCCTTTAAAGAATGTAACAGTTGGTACCTGTATATTTTGTATCATTAACTAATACATCAGAGTGTTTGCTGTGTGGTTCTGGTCTTTAAAAAGGGGGGTTTTCCCTGATGGTGGCCTTGGTTCCAGTTCTGCAGGTGTTAGTGCCAGGGAAGCTGGGTGCAGGGCACGAGGGGTGTGTCTGATTATCTCAAAATAAAAGGGTTCTTTAACAATTGTGGGGGAGAAAAAGAGTAGATGATTGGTCAGATAAACACTGGTATAACTAGTAATAGACATCACTATTATGGTTGTAGCTCAACAGTGGTAGAGCTATAGCTGGAAACCAGTTCTGTCTGATAACCAGTCTGTTCTTTACCCCAAACCACATTGTCTTCGGTACAGAAAAAAATTAAAAGGCATTTTTCATTCGTAAAAGCTAGTTCTCTCTGCAAATAGGACAACAAATTTGGAGAAGCAGCTTCTGCAAAGCAGTTTATATCATCAGGGTGAATGGATACTTTAATTTGAATAATAATGGGAGTTAACGGGTTATGCTAAATTCCAAACAAGTGCAAAGGTTTAAAATAACTCTAGCCCTGGAGGCGGGAGGCTGGTATTTTATGAATGATGGGGTGGGGGAGGGGCGGGGTTGCTCCACAGTTAGGAACCCCTCGGGGAGCACCTCTGCAGGGTCTTCACTTTTCCGGCCTCACACACAAACTTCCTGCAGTTTTGAAAGATCCTCCTGTTGTAGGTAGTACAGTGACAGGGCCTGCTCCAGGAATATGATCGAAGTAGTTCATTTTTTTAATAGCCTAAGGAACAATTTTTTCAACTACATCAACAAATTGTGTAATTGATATGTATGCCTTTAAAAAAGTATAAGTTAAAGTAGTTCATTGAAATTAAAAATTCTTGGATAAAATACAGGTTTTCAAAATGTTACCTGTAAAATCAGGATACGATTTTAAAGTTATCCTGAGTATTTTGGCAATTATGAGAAACTACTATCTTCCCTTATGGAGATTTTGTGCACATAATAAACAGATGTGGACTTAACTACCTACGCCTAATTTTGTGTTCTTTTAGCAATGCTGAAAAGCAATTGTTTTTGTGGTAGAAATACCTAGGATGGTTGAGAAGGTGGTCAGAGTCTGAACCTCAGGCCTCCAGAACCTCCGTGTTACAAGGTGCTGGGCAGTGGGTAGGGGGTGGTCACCAGGCATATTTCTGAATGAGGAAAATGATCAGCTCAGGTTTGGAGCTGTATCACTCACAGAACATTAGCTCTTACTTGGAAAGGACTGTCCCAGGAGTTTATCTTTAAAGAGAAAACCTCTTGAATGCCATTTGGACTCAACTTTCTAAGAAGAAAGGAGGAAGTGGTGCATTCTCAAGACAGAGCCCGAATTCCGTGTCTGAGTGACTGGGTGGTGAGGACCAAGAGGCTGGCCGGTGGGCCCCTCCAGGGCTGCAGCTGTCCAAAGGACCCCCGGCCCCACCCACCGGGGACCCTGTCACTGCCCCCTGAGGTTCTCACGTTAACACTGCACAGAGGCACAGAGCGGTTCCTGGCTGGGAGAGAGGTGCACCAGCAACCCCACGCCTGCGCTGGGAGGGGAGCGCTTCAACTTGTAAATCCCCTGACTTCACTTAAACCTCTGGAAAGGCTAAAGCAATGGTCAACCTTGAAAGGGGGGAAATTCCCACTGGGAATTTATGTAAATATGGCCAGTTACAGAAAAAAGTATAAAAAGCAAACCATGGTTTGGGCTATTTTTGGTTTCGGAAAGAAAACCCCGAGTAGAGAAGGAAGCCAGTCACTTCCAGCTGCGGGTGCGCTCAGGCATGGACTTGCCTTCAGCAGAAATGCTGTCCTCCCGGGCTCTGCAGAGGACACTGGAGGCCCCAGGGACCACTATGGCCTGACCAGTCCAGCTCCAGCGAGCAACGCCGGAGGCCAAAGCGGCCTCCCAGTTCACTCCTCGCTCCCCTCCCCCGCCTCGGGGTATTCGTGACTGTGTTTCCCTCTGCGGCCCACTGCTTGCCTACTCACGTTTGTCCCCATTTGGCATGTCCACACGTATTTTTTTTCACCTCTGTGCCCTGAAGTTTGGCAACCGGTGGGCACGATATCAACAGTGGTGGAAAAAAAAGGAAGGACCAGAGGGAGATGGAATAGGAGGGGTATAGTGTTTCCTCGGTGGTCTCAAGGTCTCTGAGCCCGCAATGTTTCCTGTCAAAGAGGCAGCACCCTCCCTCCCCCGACCCCGGGTCCAGGCTTGCGGTGCGTCATCACTACCGCGCCTCCATGCCCAGTCTTTCCACGGAGATCCATCTGCAACGGAGGCTAGGGCCTCCTGGCGGCGAATCCTTGCCCCCATCATCCGGACAGACCGAGAGAGCCTAAGCTCCAGCCAGGCGGGCGCTGGGGCGGGACCAAGGCCGTCGTCTTCGGCCTGGCCCCACCGCGGAGTCAGCGCCCTGTCCCAGGCTCATCTGGTTAATCCCTCTCGACTTCTAGTCCCTGGCACGGTGACATTGGGCAAGGGTGGGGGAAGGGGACCCTTTCACGGCTCTGGCCCGGAGCTGACTCTTTCCACCCAAAGGTTTCCCCCGAGGCCTGTGGACATGTGCCCGGAGTTGCTCTTTTAGGAGCAATATGCAAGCCACAGTTGGCCCGGGTTCTGCGTGACCTGGCTGGGGGAGGGGGTGTCTGCGGATCCTCTATTTCAGGTTGGGACTTCTCCGTGGCAGCTCGGAGTTTTCAGTTCAGAGGAGCACGTTCCCCAATACAGGCCTGGCTCCGGGCCCCCACGATGGACTCCCCCCGCCCCCCGCAACAACTTATCCTCGGTGTCCAGTGTGCCCCCGGCATTCGCTGGTCTTACACCCTGAGCGGAGATGACCCCGGAGCCTAGACTACAGGGGGAGGTGACAAATGGGTTCGAGGTCTCCGACGCTGAGAAACTCTCCCACCCTCTCCTGGAGCCCAGACGCCAAGGGCGGCGCCAGGCCCCTAGGGTTTGGATGTTCCTGACGTGCAATGCAAGCTCTGCCTACAGTGTTCCTCGACCTCCACCTTCCTCCTCACCCAGCGGCCGCTGGAGGTGAGGGCGGGGCTGATCGCCACCCTCGACACAGGCACTCGTTCGCGTTCTTCAGTTATTGCTTCTAGTTTTCCTGCGCATGCATTTCTCAGCTACGGGGCAAAAGAGCTGGTTGCACTGTCCCCGCAGGTGCTGAGAATCTTGGTTCTGCCGGGTTCTTAACTTTTGTCCAGAACGGTTCGCTTGGCTGGGGACCCGGGCGCGCGCCTGTGCCCGCCTCCCGCCAGTCCCCGCCCGCGCCGGCTACTGCTATTGGATGGCCCTCGCGGCTCCTCCCACCCCTAAGGGGTTGTCTCGGGTGTCAGCGACTTTTTAGTCTGCCACGCTGCTGCCAGGCACTCGTTTCTGCCAGCCTGGATCGCACAGAGCCCTGCTTTCTGGAACCTCGGGGGACAAGAGGAGGTGACCTCGGTACACTTCTCGAGTCCCCGTCTCCCGGCTCTCCTCCCGGTCCCCGGCCCGCGCCCCAGCCGACCGCATGGTGCTTCTGGCGGGGCCCGGGCCGGAGGGCGGCGGAGGGCGCTGCGTGTCTCCGCAGCCGCCGTCCTCACCTCGGGAAACGAAGACCAGTGAAGACCCCAGTGACTACGAGGAGTACGAGGACTTCTCGCGTCTGCCCGACACCCATAGCATCGCCTCGGACGACTCCTTCTACCCTACCCTGAGCGAGGAGGAGTACAGTGCCGGGAGCGTGGAGAGCATTCTCGAGGGAGTCCCAGAGGGCGTCCCGGAGGCGGCAACCCTTCTGCGCGCCGCCTGCGCCAACAACGTGGGGCTGCTGAGAGCGCTGGTGCGGCGGGGACCCCGCGCAGAGGAGGTGCAGGAGACCGATTCGAACGGCCGGGTAAGCGGGCGTTCCTGCAGAGTTCGGGTCCTCTCCTCCGTCCCTCCCAGTCCCTGCACCATGTGAATCCCGACTTTGACCAGGTCCCGCTGAGACTTTTCCACGGCAAAGAGTGCCGTTTTCTCGCTCTCTGAGCGTGGGGAGCAAGTGAAGCCTGCGGTGTACAGCCAGTCCCAGGCTGGGGCGGGGCAAGTTTGATTTGTCTGAGGTCACAGCAGGCGGGAGATGTCCCCACAGCGTCGCAGCCTTCTAGTCGCGCGCCCCGGGGGGCTCTCTGGTCCCTGAATCCCTCCTGGGGACTGTGCTGAGATCCGGGTTGGAAGCCTCTTGTTGGGATTCTTCAACCTGGGTCGCCTCTCACCATTACCTTCCTCGCCTAAAGGGGCACCCCCTTTCCCCCCAGCTCGCCAACTGTCCCCCACCAGCCCCTCGCCCTGCCCCTGCCCATTCTCTTCCACACCCGAGCTAATCGGCTCCTTTGGGCCACCCAGGTTTGGAGTTTCTTCCCAGATCTCTTGCTTATTCTCCTCACCCCACGTCTCTCTTTGTCTGGTGATCAGCGTGGTGACCAGCCAGTGTGATCTCCGACTTGGTGTCCTCAGGGCCACTGCCACGAGCCACTGCACTCTCTCGCCGCTGTTCCCCCCGACCCCACTCCGCGGGGCAGGCAGGGCGGGGGTGGGGATGGGGATGGGGAGAGATGCACGGGGTATCTGTGGGTTAGTTGTGTCAAGACTCAGAGACGGCAAGAATCGTTTAGAAAAAGAAAGAAAAAGTTGGCTTGCAAAAAGACTCCAGGACTGGCTCGCAGAGCGCAACCCATGAAGCACGTGGAGGGAAAAGTCACAGCGTGACCACAGTAGCCAAGTGTCCCCTAGTCTGTACTGTGCGGACAAGCAGCGGTCTCACCTGATTGTCACATTTCCCAGGTCCTGAGGGATATCTGCAGTCTCAGCATAGCACAAATCAGGAATGCAAGTGCTTTTGCTCAGGAGCCCACAGCTGACAGAAGACATGTGCTTTTTCGCTTGGGAACTGGTGGGACCCTGTGCCTTTGGTTTATCTCATGTGAACCAAAAACTTTTGGAGGCAGTGGCAGGCAGGTGCAGTGTGGTTGGATGTGGTGTGGCTCGGAGGGGGGAATGTGGGAGCTTAAGCTGGAGAGGCTGATGAGGGGCTGACCTGGGGTAACTGGGGGAGAAATAGGAAATGGGGATGCAAACTGGTTTCAGCATGCCACTGACCAACTTTGGGGCCACAGAACCCGCTCACTCACAGCCTTCAGGTTCCTATCTTAGTGGCACCTTCTTAGGGAGGTCTTTCCCTCTACCCCCTCTAAGCCAGAAGCACCGGGAGCTGGGTTAGGGCCATCCAGGAGTTCAGGGATTGAGAGTGGTTATTTGAGATATTAGGTGGTATTTGAGGAAAGGTGTAGAGAAGACATCTGGGGGAGAGCATCTAGGAAGAGGGAATGACAGGTGCAAAGTCTCCGAGGCAAGAGACCCTTGGGCCTGGTCTACAGTTACCATGATTAGTGACAGTTAAAACCTCACAGAAAGCCCTGGAGCAGGAGGGGTGTCCAGCCCGAGACCTGCAGGCCACAGTGGCCCAGGGTGGCTGTGAATGCGGCCCAACACAAAATGGTATATTTACTTAAAACACGAGATTTTTTGTTTTTGTTTTTGTTAGTGTTTGTGTGTTTAAATGTGTGGCCCAAGACAACTCTCCTTCTTCCAATGTGGCCCAGAGATACCAAAAGGTTAGACACCCCTGCCCCAGAGCTTTGGTAGGGTAGAGGGATAGTTGATTGCATTAACTACAGAATGCACACCTCGCAGGTACAGCCCACAGCCAGTTTCCTGGAAGAAAAATGTCTGTAAAAGGTTTGACAGCTTTTCTGAGCTGTATTTGTTGAGCTGCTGGTTTCTGGTCAGTTGAGAAAGGGGGACTGCCTGAGTGGACAGATATTTCATTGGGTTTGAGTAACTAAGGTTCAGATGTGTTTTTGTTTACAAAAATACATTCTTTCCTGGTCCTGAGATTGGTAGAGTATTAACTGTGTCTCAGCACACAATTTTTCTTCTAAAATATGTATTGCTCTAAAAGGATTGCATAATTTAATATGGAACATGCAAATATTTGTCAAATAATTCTCCAGTAACAAAGTGTGCTCTTGCTGGCTTTCAGATTGATGGTGGTTTTTTCTCTTTGAATTATGGAAGTGAAAGCTGTCATAATTCTTTTTCTTAATTCTTCTTTTCTACTTACTGTCTCTGGAGGTTCACCTTTACGGTGGGGACATCTCTGCGGACAGCCCAGCGACCGAAAGAAGTGTTTGTGCTGTCTTCATTGTTCAGAGGGCAGCTGGAATGCCAGGCAGCTCTTGAACCAAATTAAGTCCAATTCTGCTAAATTTAAGATATTGCACTCCTTTCTTGAAGTATGTAAGTCTTCTCAGGCATGTTTAAATCCCAGGACCTCCAGGAAATATTTTAAAAGTCCCTCCACCCATTTGCTCTAATGACTAGCAAAGTCTACCATACACCCAGTATGGGAGGTGTCTCCCCTTACTCCTGAGGGGCTTCGGTGTGTTATTAATGTGTACTTCTGAGTGGGACCTTTATCTCGGCAGATACCTGAGAAATTTTGTTGTTGGTGGTGGTTTTTCGAAGGTTACAGAAGAGGCATAAACTTTGGACTTGTCTCTCCCTAAAATGAGAACCGAGTTGTTTGGAGTTCACATCCAGCCCTTCCACATTTTCCAGGCCTCAGCACCGCAGGCCTGCTTGTGCGCTAGTTAGTGCAGAAAGTGAGTTCCAGCCTCACGCCTCCATACATGTGTTGAGGGCCATCAAGCATAGGGAAAGGAGAAGAGAAGGGAGACTGGGGCTCAAGGGCTGGTGCAGAGAAGTGTGTTAGCAGAAGTGAGCCGGGAAAAACCTGGGCTTGTAGCGGCCAGGCTGACAGATGTCGGCCTCTTCCTCCTCCGCTGACCGTGGCTGGGGTGCCCTGGGCCCAGTAGCAATGGACAGGCCCATGTGTTTTTCATTTTTTTAATGGACTTAATTTTTTCTAGAGCAATTTTAGGTTCACAGCAAAATTGAGGGGAAAGTATACAAATATCCTATATACCCCTGTCCCAACACATGCACAGCCTCTCCCATTATCAATGTCCCCACCAGAGCAGTACATTTGCTGCAATCAATGAATCTACAATACATTGACGCGTCATTATCACCCAAAGTCCATAGTTTGCATTGTGGTTCATTCTTGGTATAAATTCCATGGGTTTGGACAAATGTATAATCTATAGTCATCATTATATCATTAAAAGTATCCCGTGTGTTTTCATATAAGTGTATCAGTTATCTATGGCCACAGAAATGCTGCATAACAAATAACTGAAACCTTGTGAGTGTATATAGCAGCAAACGTTTTGCTAAGGGTGGCCCAGCTTAGCTGGTCCTGGTCTTACATTCCGCTGGGGTCAACTGCAGATGGCAGGACCAGGAAGGGCTTGGCTGCAGTGACTGCACCATGTGGTCTCTCATTCTCCAGCAGATGGGCCTGGGCTCATTCTCCATGACAGAGCAGGGTTCCACGACAGCAAGTAGAGCCAGTAAAATTCAGTGCCACTCCTGCTGAAGCAAGTTACAAGACCACGCCCAGATTTACCCTCTTAAGTGTGAATTTTATTTTGTTTGTATAGGACATTATTCACTAACCATAATGTTTATTTGTTTATTTAAAATTTATTTTTATTAAGGAAAATTGTAGATAGGTATCCAACTAGGGGGTACCAAAATTCTTCCATCCTAATCTCTAGCATCAATGAGCATCAGCGCCCAAAGGCCTGCTTTGATTTTGATGGGAAGGGGTACATTGAATTGCCGCTTTTTGTGTTTGTGTTGATGAAGTTTTCAGAAGTCTAGGACCACCATCACAGGATTTGGAGCTAGAAGAGATTTTAGGGGTTATTGGTCCCCATCATTTTGTGGTTGATGAAAGTGGGGCTCAGAGAAGAGGGTGTCTAGAGTATTGGAGAGCTGGGTTCTAGAACACCCCTGAAGCTGCTGCCGATGCTCCTTTAAACCAGCATGGGTCTCTGAGGGGCTTCTACGCATTCCACCTTTGCCTCCTGGCTGCACCTGAGAAATGGGCCAGCTATGAATTTGGTTGGGATGATTTTGAACATCCGCTATCTTTTCCATCTTATGCTTGTAAAGGAAGACTAATGGGAGAGGTATTATGAAAAATCTAAAACAATAATAGGGTATATGAACTTTTTTGGAATCCCATTTATTCACCTAACATTCATATCAGTATACTATGCAGGCTATTATTCAAAACTGTTTTGAATGACAACTTCTGGTAGATATGGTTATACTCCAGGAAAAGTTCTAAGTATTATTTAACTAATTGTAAATTACTAAAATTCAAGCCCTCCTAGCAGATTCTGAGACTGGTAACTTTTTAGTAATTACAGGATTACTCAGCTTTTCTCTTTCTTCCCAAATCTGTTATGGTAACCTTTCCTTTTCTGGGAAATTCCCATTTTTTCTAAGTTCTAAAGGTTAATAATGTATGACATTTTTATAGTTCTCTTTTTAAGTTCTGCTATAATTGTGTTATATCCCATTTTTCTTTTTTTAAACAAAATTTTAAAAAAGATTTTATTTGTTTATTTTTAGAGAAGGAGGGAAACATTAATGTGTGGTAGTCCCTCATGCGCCCCCTGCTGGGGACCTGGCCCACAACGCAGGCCTGTGCCTTGATGGGGACTCAAGCGGCCCGGGGTTACTTCACAGGCCTCGCTGAATCCACGGAGCCACACCAGCCAGGGTGTTTTTCTATATTTTTGAAATTGTGCTGTTTCCTTTTTGTGACAGATATTTTCAAAAATATCTATTTTATTCGGATTTTGCTTTGGACCTGCTTCTTTCTTCACTATGTCATCAATTTTTCGTTTTCTTTTTCTTATTTTTTCTTTCAGGTTAATT